GATCGTGGGGCCCGGCTCGGCCGTCTTGAAGCGTTCTTGGGGGCTTTTTGGGGCGTCTTGAGGCGATCTCGGGGGCTTTCAAACCGTCTTGAAAGCTGATGAAATCCGAAAGGCGAATATGCAAAAAATGTAAGTTTACGGAGGGAATGGGACAATCTGTGTGTTTTGAAGGCCCCTTGGAAAGCTTCTTGGGGTGCCTTGGGGGTCTTTATGTTGGCATTCGGAAACATCGTGGGGGTGTTTTCGGGGCCGTCGTGGGCCGTTTTGGCGCCTTCATGGGCCGTCCTGGGGCCTTCGTGGGCCGTCTTGGGGAGCTTGGGCCCGCTGGAGCCCCCTTTGGACCCATCTTGGGCACTTCCAGGGACCTCCCATGGCCCTTTTGGGTCTGTGCTGGGAGCCCTTGGGGGGCCACTTGGTTCCATTATGGGCTGTCTTGGGGCTCTCGTGGGCGATCGTGGGGCCCAGCTCGGCCGTCTTGAAGCTTTCTTGGAGGCCTTTTGGGGCGTCTGGAGGCGATCTCGGGGGCTTTGAAACCGTCTTGAAAGCTGATGAAATCCGAAAGGCGACTATGCTAAAATTGAAAGTTTTACGGAGGGGATGGGACGATTTTTGTGTTTTGAAGGCCCCTTGGAAAGCCTTCTGGGGTGCCTTGCGGGTCTTTTGGGCCGTCCTGACGCAGTTGGAGTCCCTCTTGGAGCGCTCTTGTGCTGTCTGGGGCCTTCCTTGAGCCTCTCTGATGACCCCTCGGATCGCTCTGGGTCTGCTGGCAAGGCGTCTGTGGAGACCCGGAAAGCCGGGTGACCTTATCCAAGGACGTCCAAGGAAGCCCGAGAACCCCAGATCCCGGGGTTCATTTTTTTTTTTGGGGGGGGGGAGGGTTCCCCCCCCCCCCCGGGCTTGTAAAAGCATAGGAAGAGGAATGTATATCAATGTATGTATGAATGAATGGATCTGCATCTATATATACATGTGTATATATGTATATATATATATATATATACACGGTTCACATGTACATACGTGTATGTATATATGTACATAAATGTATTGCTACGTAGCGAGTATCTGACAGTCACCGTACACATCTGTTGTTACGAGCGGTCCCGCTCTGGGGGTCTCTTGGGGCAGTTGTGAGGCCGTCTGAGGGGCCTGTTGGGTCGCCTTGGGGCCCTCGTAGGCAGTCTCGGGCCCCTCTGGATCGTCTTGGGGGTCTCATGGGGCTATCGTCTGCTGTTTGGAAACTCCCAGGTGCCCCCGTGGGGAGCCTTGGGACCCTCTTGCGAAATCTTAGGCCCCTCTTGAGCCGTCTAGCCGCTCTTGCGGCCCCCTGGGACGCCCAGCGGGCCACATTGGGGCGAGCTTGGGGGCCTATTGGTCCGCCGTGGAGGCTCTGAGGGGTGCGAAAATCGTAGCTGACAGCATGCGTAAGATCAATGAGTGCTGCCTCTCAGGAGCCTCTTGAGGCTCCTCTTCGGGCCCTCTTGGGCCGCTGCCGGAGCCTGTTGCCCTGTCTTGCGACCATCTTGTGCTGTCTGTGGCCCGTCGGGCCCTCGTGGAGCATTCTTTGGCCCTCTTGGACCGTCTTGTGCCTTCCCTGCGTCCGGTTGTTCTGGTGTTCCAGCTGCGGGCGGATCCTGGACATGCGCCTCAATGAAATCCACGCTGGTACTCCAAAGCTCTTCCGAGACCTTCCAGTCCGGGGGCCCGAGCGGCAAGAGCCTGCGCAAGTCATCGGAGGAGCATTCTTTTGGTTACGCCTTCACGTCTGCACTTCTGGGCGCGGACGTGGCGGCGGCACGGGCCGGGCCCGCTCCATGAGGACGCAGCCACTCTCCTCGTCTAGGGAGACGGGATGCACCGGCAACGTCTGCCCCACCGCTGGCCAGGCGCCACTGCCAGCCCGGGACAGCATGCCGCTCGCCTCGCAGCCGAAGTCCAGGAAGGCCCAGTCGTACCTGACCCGGTACACGCAGCCGGTGTAGGGGCTCTGCTGGGGGCCCAGCACCTCGCCCAGCCGCAGGCGGGGCATCGGGCTGGGCCGGAGCGCCAAGATGAGCCGCCCATTGGCGTGGTTGCGCAGGTAGACGTAGACGTGCACCTCCTGCCCGACCTGGAGCTGGTCCAGCTCCTCGAGGCAGGGGGTGGGCAGCGCGTGGTACTGCCGCGGCAGCAGGCCAGGCCGCTCGCAGCCGATGTCCACCCACGCGCCCAGGTCCGTCAGCGCCGCCACCGTGCCCGCGTAGGCAGTCTGGCCGTCTGCGGCAAGGGAGTCGGAGCTGCGCAGCGGGCTTTCGCGGCGGTCCAGCGAGAGCGTCAGCTTCCAAGTCTCTATGCGCTTCGACACAACGTAGGTGGTCACTTCGTCGCCGACCTTGAGCGCTTCCAGTCGCGGCCTCACCTCGGGCGGACTGCTCGGAAGAGGCATGATCCCTTGGCACTCGCACCCGATGTCCACAAACACTCCGTACCAACTCGTGGACGACACGCGGCCCGTATATGGTGTCTGTAGAAGAAGGAAAAAACGCCATAAACATTAACTTTTGGCCTTCGTGCGGGTTTCTTGGATCTGCGCTGGATCCCTACCTGGCGCGCGGAGCGCGCCAGGGGCGGCGCTGAAGGCGCCGCCAAGGGGGCCCAGCGCGGATCCAAGACATCCACGCGGAGCGCCAAAGTTTCATGTTGATGGCGTTTTTTGTTCTTCGAGTCTGGCCGTCGCACACGATCGCGTCCCACAACTGCCGGGGCTTGGGGGAGCGCTGCAGACTCATATTGATTTTGCCCGTGTGCTTGAGCTTGTGGTGCGCGTAAGCCACCACTCGGTGCCCGATCTGCAACGCCTCCCAGGACTCCAGGTGCTCGAACTCCCTCACTGGCAGCATGCCCGCGTAGGCGCAGCCGAAATCAATGAAGGCCCCGAACTCCGTCTTGCCCGTCACGACTCCAGGGTAGGGGGTCTGACCGTCGGCCACCACCTCGTCCCAAGTGATTAAGCGCTCTGCCCGCTTGTTCAGGCTCACGGTCACCTTGCCAGTGTGCTGCGAAACCTGCATGATGTAAACTGTGATCTCGTCGCCCGCCTTGAGTTGCGCCACGGCCGTGGAGTCCTCTACGGGGGCCACCCGCGCACGGGGGGCGTCTCCGAGGCTATCCCTCAGGGGCAGCAGCGTCGTCGTGTCACATCCTATATCGATGGCAGCGCCTGCTGCAGGATCCACGAAAAGCACGACGCCCCGGTATGGCGTTTGCCCGTCGGCTTTGAAGTCCGTCCAAGCCCTCCGCGGCATCGGCGACGGGCGCAGTGAACAAATCAGCCTTCCAGAACTCCGCCTCTTCTCGTACACATAGACGGTGGCTTCGTCCCCGACGTTGGGCAAAGCCGAGTCATCTAAATCCAGTGCACTCGCGGGGACCAAGCACTGCAATTCCGTGCCGATGTCGACGAAAACGCCGAGCGGCGTCACGTTCGCGATAGTGCCATCATAGGGCGTGCGGCCATCCGCAACAACGCTGTCCCAGCGGAGCCGCGGCAACTGCCGGCGCTCGAGGGACAGGTTGATCTTCCCGGTGTCCCTCTTTGGCGGCGCGCAGACGAGGGTACGGGCAGGGGGGAAAGCTTCCTACAAAGAGGCCGCTCCTTAGAGGGCGCCGGCCCCACACCTGAGAAGCAGGAGTGCTTCTGAGAAGCTTCTCCCCCCTCTCCCATAATTTCCCTCTGCGCGTGGCCGACCTCTGCCGCGAGGTCACGTAGACGGTGACCTCCCGGCCCGGCCGCAGGCTCTCCAGGGCGCCCGGGCGGGCCGGCTGGCTGCCCCTGGCGGGCAGCAGCCCCGGGCGCTCGCAGCCAAAGTCCACGAACACCCCGAACTCCGCGCAGCTCGCAGAGGCCCCCCGGGTGGGATTGGAGCACATGGGGTCGGAGGACTGCGCCGTCTTGCCGCTGCACCGCATCGCCGAGACATCGCCGAGGCATCGCCGATGCACTGGCCACGTCGGCGATGCATCGGCGACGTCGGCGTGGAGAAGAGCTCCGCCGACGCATCGGCGACGCGGCGCGATCCCCCGACCACATCTACTCGGACCCCATCTGAGAGGCCTAGACCTCGTCACCCTGCCGTCGTACGGCGTCCAGCCGTCCGCCACGACCGCCTGGAACGGGATGCGCGGCCTCTTGAACAGGGACAGGCGGCTCCAGCAGTCCTATAGGCCTACCACGACATGTTCTTAAAACGAGACGGCCTCATAGCATAGCGAGCGCGAGCAACAGGCCAGCCGGATGTCAGACAAACCAGCCGGGCCGTGTCCCTTCAGGGTCGGCCGACTGACAGGAGGAGGAGGATGGGGGGGAGGAGGAGGAGGAGGAGGAGGAGGAGGAGGAGGAGGAGGAGGAGGAGGAGGAGGAGGAGGAGGCGGAGGAGGAGGATGAGGCGGAGGGGAGGAGGAGGCGGCGGAGGAGGCGGAGGAGGAGGCGGAGGCGGAGGAGAGGGTCTCGGCGCCAGAACTGCGGCGAGAACCCTGCGCTGTTAGGCCCATCGGCACGCCGAGGCGCCTCGCCACTGCCTCCGGCCTCGTGCCCGCCGCGGGCCCCCCCGCCGCGTCGCCCGTGCCCGCCGCGCGGGGGGCGCCCGCGGCCCTCGGGCGGGGCGCCCGGCGGGGCGGCCCCGCCCTCTGCGCGGCGGCCCCCGCGAGCCGCCGCATGGCTCCGCCGGCGGGCCCGTGGGCGGTCGCGGGGGCGCACGGGGCGCTGAATTACGCAGGAGGCATCTGTACACCACCACCGTGCCAAGCTAGAACCATCCTGGTCCTGGCATGGTGTAGACGCCGTCCTGGCCGAGGCCGGCGGGCCCGGGGCGGTCGCGGGGGCGCACGGGGCGCTGGTTGTTGCCGGCCTCGAGCGTATCCCTATGCCCCAAGATGGACACGCCAAAGGGCGAGGACAATCTTGGGGGTCCGCCCTCATAAAGCAAGGGGATCCCTGAGATTGGCATCGTGATGAGGAGGTGCCCGGCATAGGGATAGGGATGTGTTCCAGGCTGGTAAGATTGGCCCAGCGGTCCAACGCATGGGGAACATCGAGACGGGGGCTTTTCGCCGTCTTCGGCCTCCAGAGGCCCTCGCCGGGCCGCGGGACCGTCAACAAAGGGCTCAGGAGGAAGGCCGGTCCCGGGGAAGGGGTCGAGACTTCTGGGGGTGCCGCATGGAAAAAAGCACGACATCGGATCTCTGGGAATGGGGGGCGATACATGGGGGCGGAGACTCGTGCATCTTTCCGTGCCTCTTTTGACCTCCGGGCAGCCCCTTCAGGGCTCCTGCAGGGCACGAGAGGTGCACCCTTCTGCCCCCCCCATTTAATTGATCGCCCCCCATTTCGCAACGCCCGAGCGCGCCCCTTTACCCTCAGATCCGGGCGTTGCATTTTTTCGCAACGGGCGTCTTCTCCCGATCTCGGGCCTCGAGTTCTTCACGGATCGATCCGGCTCGAAGAATGGCGCAGACAGATGGGCTTCTGGGGCACTGGTGGCGATTTTCGGCGGAGTTGAACGTCAGATCTGAGGCCGTTTCCGCCCCTCTGCCGGCCCCGCGCTCGGGCAAGACAGATGGCTCGGCCACCAGCGGCAAGGCAGAGCAGCGAGACGGGCATCTGGCTCCGTGGGTGCCGGCTCTCGACGATGTGCGGTGGTGCAGCTTGCCCCGCCCGTGGGGTGTGGTGGCGGGGCTCGCTGGGGGCCAAGGCCAGCGACTGCGCGGAGACCCAAGACTTCCAGCTTCCGCCTCCCCTCCTCCTTGCGTGACGTGGGCCCCCCACATCCCGCGCTCGAACATCGTCGACTGCGACCTGGTGGTGTGGGCCGGGGCACCGCCGCGTGGGTGGAGGCCGCCCCAATGGGGTCCGGGGATTGCGGCGCATCGCCGCATCGCCGATGCATCGGCAACGTCGGGATGGAGAAAGTCGGGTTCCGAATCAATCCCTGTCGCCGATGCGTCAACGATACGGAGCGATCAACTGACCCCATCTGCTTCGACCCCATCTGGGCGGCCTGGGCTTGGGGCCCTGAGGCCACACTCCTCCGCGCATGTGCAGACGCACGCGGATGCCTGGCGTCTCGCCGCTGCGGAATACTGTTCATGCTCCGCGTGCTCCTGCTCCAGTGCTCTCGCCGCAGTCGGCTCAGTGGGGTGCTGCTCCACGCAGCACCTGTGCAGCGTGCGAAGCAGGGGGTCTCAGCACATGGTAAGCGACTGACGTTGTCGCCCCCTCTGGCGCGGAACGCCGCCGGCCCTGCCGGAGCGAGCGGCGGAGGCGCGACACGCCCAGGCGCGGGGCTCCCCGAGCGCAGCCTGGCCCTCTGGAGGGCGAGGCTCCCCATCGCGTGCGCCTCGGTGCGGCCCCCCCTCGCCGCCGGACTGATCTGCACCCGCCGCCCAGGGGGCGATCTGCCGGGACCTCGACAGGCGTCGGATGTGGGCATGCCTCCTCCTCATCCTCCTCCTCCCTCCTCCTCCTCCCTCCTCCTCCTCCTCCTCCTCCGCCTCCTCCTCCTCCTACGAGGAGGAGGAAGAAGAGGAGGAGGAGGAGGCGGAGGAGGAGGAGGAGGAGGATGAGAAGGAGTAGGGGACCTGGGACGGGTGGGCGTGACGGGTTTACCCTGGCACTCCTTCTCCACCGTTGCTCCGTGTGGCTTCCCCGGAGATGGCCGGGGAGGGGCCCGACCCCCCTCCCTGCATATCCCACACGCCGGATCGCAGAAGCTGGTCGTTCGTATGGTGTTGTTCTAATCGAAATGTTTTTTCCAATGTCTCGGCAAGGTGCTTCAGCTGCAGCGATGGCCTCAATTGAGGATCGACGCTCCGCTCCCGACCCTCAGAAAGGCGCTCTGGCTCCAGGGCGGGCCACTGTTTTCTGGATCCGAGTCTTTCTCCACTGCTGTCGCCCTCTCCTTTACCCTCCTCCACCTGCCCATGGTCCTCCTGCTCCTCCCACTCTTTCTACTCCAGATCCTCCTGCTGCTGGTCGTCCTCGTCCTCCTCCTTCCTCCTCCTTCCTCCTCCTTCCTCCTCCTGCTTATTTGCCACCTCCTCATCCAATGTACGCAGCTCCGCTGTCTCCGACTGCGCAAAACACGTTGGGTCTCTTTTTGCCTTCCAGGTCCTTTATGACACGCGTCGATGGATAGAGCAGACATCAGCGCAATGGGAACGGATGGGCGGGAGGGTCGAATGGCAGACATGGCGCGAGCGCACCCAGCTTGTCCCTATCATCTCTCCTTCTCTCTGATCCTTCTCTCTCATACTTCTCCCTCCTCTTCCTCTTCCCCCTCACCTGTTCTCCTCCCTCTCCCCTCCCTAACTCCCGCCTCAAAAGGTCCCTCGACGTCCTTAAAACACCACAGGACGCCCCCTAAGACCTTGAATGTCCTACCCCGCCCCTCCGAAACGCCTCCCAACACCCTCCCCCTCCCTCTTCTCCGACTCCTTCCCTTCCTCCTCCTCCTCCTCCTCCTCCTCCTCCTCCTCCTCCGACGACGACGACGACGACGATGGCGACGACGACCACGACGACGACGACGACGAAGGCGACGCAACGACGAGCGGTGGCGACGACCTCCCCTGGTATCGGGTGCGCCGGAGAGGGGGCCAGGAAGATGGGGGGGGGCGCATCATGGCCCGATTTTGTGCACGGAAGAGCGGGGGCCACGAGAGGCGTTGAAAGAAGGAGTGGACATGACATCTGAAAGAGATCGCAGCCCCCGCCATGATATCCGCACACCCCACCATCTGATTGCTGACGCCACGTGGATCTGTCATCCTTGAACGATCGGTGGCGTTTTGATGGCCACACCGTTACGTGTTGGCTGGTTCTGGGCCGCAGGCGGCGTCCAACGTTGAACGCCCGCGGCGGGGTCGCCGCCGCGTCGACGCGGCCCATACCTGCCACGTTTCTCCACTCCGCTTCTTGGACATACTCCCTTTCCCGCTCCTTCTCCTCCTCCTCCACCTCCTCGTCCTCCCCCTCCTCCTCCTCCTCCTCCTCCTCCGCCTCCTCCTCCTCCTGACCCTCTCCTCCTCCACCTCCTCCTCCTCCTCCTCTACCCTCTCCTCCTTCTCCTCCTCCTCCTCCTCCCTCAACCCTCTCCTCTACCCTCTCCCCTTCTCCTCCTCCCTCCCTCCTCACCCTCCTCCTCCTCCCCCGACGACGACGACGACGGCGAACAACGACGGTCATGACGCTGACGACGAAGGACGACGGCGAAGGCGACGCGGCGGCGGCGGAGGCGCCCCCCCCCCCCCCCCCCCCCCCCCTGCCCGTGGCGCCAGGCAGGCCGAGGGCCACAGCGGACGCCAGCCGCGCGGCGAGCCGCGCCGCGAGCGCGGCCAGCTGCACGCTGAGGGGCGGCGGGGCGCTTTCCTCATCTGATCCTCCTCCTCCCCTCCTC